GCGTTTCGTCCATTGTGGAGTTTTTGAAGGCAAAAACGGAATGAATTTATTAAAACAAAATAACTATTAACAACAAAACAAAATGTCCTTAGCAGATGGAAGAATTTAGAAAACGCTATTATATTCATATTATCAACTGAAAATTACGTCAAGTACAGTCACGTGTGGAGTTCAATAATATATTCAATTATATATATATATATATATATATATATATATATATATATATATATATATATATATATGAAGAAATATAGCCTTAAGATGTGCTATATTTATGGGATAAAGTGCTCAATATCAGAGATAGATCGTGTGTAAATATAAAAAGTGAACATAGAAGTCAACACATAGAGGCGACAGTTTGTTTCATGCTAGATGCAATCGTCAGCACTCGTAGCCTGACTGCACTCCTAGCATGAAACAGACTGTCGCCCTCTAAGTGTTGATTTCTATGTTCACTTTATATATATATATATATATATATATATATATATATATATATATATATATATATATAATTGTGTATTTGAGCAATCCTGCTTTTATACAAGTTTCATTAAAACGACTGACAATGTGGGGTTAAGTTTTTATTCAATTTTTCTTGTGTTCTTATCATTTTCTCCTTTTCTCGTCATAAATTATGTAGAAAATGTCCTAATGTTATGTATGTCTAAGCGCCTTCATCTATTTTTTTTTAAGCCACTATCAAGGATGATTTCATTTTTACTTTTAACTGAATGTGTGAATTGTTTTATGTATGTATCTCAGTTATAAGGATAAACATTGTGTTCGTGCTCTTAGCTGATGTTATCGAGTTTTGGCTTTTTCTTTTTTCTTTTTTTTTTTATTCATAATGCTTCTATCATTTTTAGTAGTTTTTACATTTGAATGATGCTATTAAATTTGAATTATCAACTAGTATGTTGTGGATAGAGTTTGGTAGATCGCCATGCGTATTTAAATGACCTAATTGAGCTATATTCAGAGACACGTAACGTCAGTCTTCTTGCTAGGCATGTTGTTTTCTATCCAGTATTATTAATTATGAATTTAGATGGATCAGGAACACAGTTCCTTAAGTGACATTTGAATTCATAAATAATTATCGTTCTTTGTAATGTGGATATTGCATGTGAGTTATTATTGCTGATGATGAGGTTAGTAGTTTGAATTTTTTAAAGTAGATAATTTCATTTTATTTTTCTTGTCGACTAGAGTTAGATATTTCTTTATAAGGTTTCTATATATATGACGATATTTACAAAGTTCTGCTATAAATCTTTAGCTACGTTTTCGTTTAAAATCTACATTGTATAAATAGGACATATTTAGTTGAAAGAAAAAAAACGTGCCAAGTCATTGGAAACGAAAGCGATTATGTTAAAAAATTTTAAAGTCTTCGTATATTATTTCATTAGTAGTCAACGGATTTATTAATATACATATATATCGACCCACACGAAAGACATAGGTAAACAGAGAGGAAATAGCAAAGAAATTTAAATTACATGCACTCTCTCTCTTTCTCTCTCTCTCTCACACACACACACATACCCGCACAAACATACACACACACACACATATATATATATAAATATAAATATAAAAATGAACATTGAAAATAATAATACACACATATATATGTATATATATATATATAAATATAAAAGTGAACATTGAAAAGTGAACAGCCCTGACGATTGCGTCTTGCGTGAAACAGCTGGTTGACTTCAATGTTCACTTTTTTATATTTATATTTACATACGCTCTATCTCTGATATTGAGCACTTTATCCCATAAATAAATATAAAACTATATATATATATATATATATATATATATATATATATATATATATATGTGTGTGTGTGTGTATATATATATATATATATATATATATCGGTGTGTGTGTGTATATATATATATATATATATATATATATATATATATATAGGTAACTTGTTCAGATTCCTTTTACGAACCTCTGCTCAGACACATGTCGTCTTTCTTCAACACTCACAGACCCAGTCTGTAGTTAATACTGCAACTATACAGACATTAGTTACAGTTTGTGGAAGAGATCGCATTATCTGGGGTAATCAAAATTTGAACAGTAAGCTACTTTTCAACGGTACCAGACTGCGTTAGTGTCACCCCAGGTCGATTTTATCAAACTTTATTCGACTATAGTGAGATTCGGAACGAGGTTTCATGATCAGAAAAATGCTAACGTTTTAATCATTCGGCCATGTGTATACGATATCAGAATTTATTTTGAAAAGCATTTTTCTCGTAAGAAAGTAAAAAAAAAATCGGCAATTGAAATTTGGGCGAGAAAAACAGGAGCGACTAAAAGTAATATAAAAAAACAGTAAAAAAAAAAAGGGAGAAAGAAAGTGAACAAGAAAGAAAGACAGAAGGAAAGAAAGACGATAGCGCAAAGAGAGGGAAAATTCCGATAGAAAAAAAAGAAAGCCAAAAGAGAGACCGAAAGAAAGTAAACGGAAAAGATAAAAAGTGAGAAATAAAAAAAAAAAAATGAGAAAAGAGAAAGAAAGAACGAAAAAAGAAAACTGACACTTCATCTTCCCGACCAAGGCTTCAAACGGACATTTGGAGGCGAAATCCCAGTTTAAAATGGCCTGCTTTACCACTCGGCTTCGAACGAGTTTTACCAACGAATAACTCTCTATTATAAGGAAAGCGTTTCCTCACTAAGATATTTTTTGAAAAGCCCATACCTGCTTAGTTTCGCATCAGAAACGTAAAGGGATTTATAAAGAATTAATAGATTAATAAGTTATTAATCCCTCATTTCAAACGTTATGGTAGGGATACTTGTATTTGATACTTATTATTTTTAACTTTAAACTTTAAGAGATGAATGGAGGCATAACGTTAGCATCCCTAGTGATCACTCCAAACATCAATTTTGATTGGATATTTGGTTTTCATCACTCTTGGTACATTTTTTGGGGACACACCATCCTCTGCACTGTTCTCACATTGACACCCAGACACACTGAAATGTTCGTATTAGAATTTCGGCTCGAATGACAAGCAGTGCAGCATGTCGTTTCCAAATTTCTGGTGGAGTGAATTGCGTCATGTTGCACTTTTCCTCACTGATGGCGCCCAACTGACTCCAGTATATTGTGCATTCGACAAAGTAAAAAACAAACAACCCGAATCCCCGAAATTAAAAATGTTAAATGTCGACAATTTACCCATTGCACCTTGTATATATGTATGAAAATTTTCTTAAGATTACTTGGGGAGTGCAACTGATAGTCCTAATGCATGTTGATTTTTATGTATGTTCTTAATTTACATGTTACACTTCTTTCACTCTCTCTCTCTGTCTGTCTGTCTGTCTCTCTCTCTCTCTATATATATATATATATATATATATATATATATATATATATATATATATATAAAATGCAGGATGTGTGTATGTATGACGAATGCACGGCCCAAAATTTCGACGGATTTGCACCAAAATTTACATGCACATGCTCCAAGTTAGCGGAAAGGTTAAGACCGACGTTGCATTTCCCAACTCCCATCGATAGTGGAAATAACCGATTTTTTCATGCTTCTACAGCAGTTTTCATGTAATTTGCGGCCATTTTGTACTGGCCAGAATGAGAGCCTAGAGCTGGCTGTCACGAATAGGCAGGAAGATTCTATTGGCCAGCGTGAGAGCCAACAGTTGACTGACACGAATGTTAACTAGCATGCTATCATGCAAAAAAAAATCGATAGCTGCATTCGTCACAAGTGGGAAAAATTTAAATCTGCATGGAACTTCACTCCAATTGGCTCATTCGCTTGCTTAAACTCAACGTTGATTCTGATTCCGCAGAACTGGGTAGGGTGTGAAAAAGTATGTTGTTAACATTCTTTTTTCATTCGGTTTTTCCAGTTACGAGTCCTTTTAAAATTTTTTTAAAAAATTCGTAGTGTGAGATAGGCAAGAAGTAAGGCATGTAGCAACCTCAGCACGGCAAGGGCACTCCTTTAAAGGCAAGGAAGGGCAAAAATATTTTAAGTCAAGTGATAGCGATTGCTGCATGAGTACGATATTTGCATCAAGCACGGGCAACGCCGGGCCATGCTGCTAGTATATATATATATATATATATATATATATATATATTATCATGCGTTATTCTTTTAATGTATATCCGTATTTCAGTAGACAGTATTTAAACAGTATTTATTTCATCTACCGACCTGCGCACTGGAGAAAACTTAATGAATAAAATGTACCCCATGTGAGAGTACGAACCTTCGTCTATTTTTGCAGGAGAAACCGCCCTCTGATGTGGAGTGCTTTGAGCGTTCGGCTACGGAGAGCTTCACAGACAACCAATTTTTTTAATATTTGCCTTAATGCATGTTATACAAATATCTAGTAAAAATAACGTTTGAATTAATAAAATATGTATGTATGTATGTATATATATATATATATATATATATATATATATAGTCTGCACATATATATATATATATATATATATGTGTGTGTGTGTGTGTGTGTGCGTGTGTGTGTGTGTGTGTAAAAGATGCAAACATTATATATTGTTGATTTTTCTTGCTCAAAAGAATAATAAATGAGCCGTAAGGATTTTGAAAATGTTAGGGTATCACAAGACCCAAAACTCTAAGGAGCCATTTTCTTTTGGCCGATCATTTCTTACTAACCAATCCTCTAAAGGATTTTGCATTGGCCAAGCTTTGTTGTATATCCTGAAACAGTGCCTGTTCCTATTATTCAACCAATCCAGTGTCCTTGTAGGGCAGCTTCATCTCAGCCTTATCGTAGAAAGGTTATAAGAGGCTCCCAGTTTCCATACATCATCCAATCGAATGCTATGGCCCAAAGCCATTTAACACGCCTGATTCCCTCGACAAGCACGACTTGTCGATTGCCATCTTGTGAAATACAAAAAAAAAAAAAAAAGAAAAAAAGAAAAGAAAAAGCTGTAACGATGTCATGCGTATAAAGTACATTTGTTTGATGCATCCGATTTTACATCTGTAGATTTTGTTAATGTCTTTTTTGTCGTTGTTGTTGTTTTGGATTATGTCTTTTCCTTTCCGGAACTGCATTTTCTTTGCTTCCTGTTAAGCTTTTATTTCCTTACTTAATTTTTCATTCTTTCTTTATTCTTTTTACATTTGTTTCATTCGTATTTAGTTGCTTCGGATATTCCTTCGTTTATTTTCACGCTCCCTTTCTTTCTTTCTTTCTTTCCTTTCTTTCTTTCTTTCTTTCTTTCTTTCTTTCTTTCTTTCTTATCTTCTTTATCTTTCTTTTTCTCTTGCGTTATTTTATGTTATTCTTCACTTTCTTTGTAATTCATATTGCAATTCAATTCTTTCTTTCTTTTTTCGATTTTCTCATTCATATATTTTTTTTCTTTTTTTCGATTTTCTCATTTTTTTCACTCTTTTTCCATATTTCCTTTACTTTTCGTTCTTTTTCACTTTCTTTTCCTTGTTTTCTTTCCTTATTGATTTCCCTCTCTTCTAGTTTACTTCTTTCTTTCTTTCTTTCTTTTATTTTCTTTCGTTTTTTTCTTTCCGATTTTACCTTTCTTGATTTTCCTCTCTTTAAATTTCTCTTTCTTTCTTTCTCTTTTTCTTTCTTTCTTTCTTTCTTTCTTTCTTTCTTTCTTTTACTTTTGCTTCTTTCTTTTATTTTCTTTCGTTATCTCAACGTTATCATTTTATTTTATTCTTTTTTTTGTTATTCCTCTTTTTTCGCTCTTTCTTTCTTTTTTTTTTTTTTTTTCTTTTCTTTTCCTTGTTTCTTTTTTCGTTCTTCTTTCTTTCTTTTATTTATCTTTCTTTTATTTTCTTTTGTTCTCTTAATTGACTCTACCATTTCATTAGACATTATACTTTCTTTCTTGCTATTTCCTCACTTTCACTTTCTTTCTTTCTTTCTTTTTATTTTCTTTCTTTTTTCGTTATTTTGAAAGCATCATCATTCTAGCAAATTAGTATATTGATTTTTATTCTCTATTTTTCTTCATTTATAGTTTATCTTCTTCATTCTTTCCCCCCTTTCTGTTTATTTTTCATTTCTATATTTTCTTTTTTTCTTTCCTTTTTTGTCTTTCTTTCATTGCCTTCATTTACATTGCTATATTTTCTTCATTTTCTTCCCCTTTTTTTTCTCATTCATTTGCCTTCATTTACATTGCTATATTTCTTCATTTTTCATCCCTCTTTCTGTTTCATTCATTGCCTTTCTATATTTTCTTCATTTTCATCCCTTTCTGTCTTATTCATTTTCATTTACATTCGATATCTTCTTCATTCTTTTATTTTCATTTACGTGTTCATTTTTTCTTCTTGTCGTTCATTCATTTTCATTTACCTATATCTTCTTCATTTTTCTTCCCTCTTTTCTCTCATTCGCCTTCATTTCTTGCTATATTTTCTTCATTTTCTTCCCCCTTTTTTGTCTCTCATTCATGGCCTTCATTTACATACGTGCTATATCTTCTTCATTCTTCTTTCCTTTTTTGTCTCATTCATGGCCTTCATTTACATACGTGCTATATTTTCTTCATTCCTCTTCCCCCTTTCTGTCTTTCATTCATTGCCTTCATTTACATACGTTCTATATTTTCTTTTTTTTCCCCCTTTTTTGTCATTCATTGCCATCATTTTTCGTTGATTTTCATTTTTCTTCCCTTTTTTTGTCTCTCATTCATTGCCTTCATTTCATACGTGCTATATCTTCTTCATTTTTCTTTTTTTTTCATTTTATCATTTTTTCTATATTTTATTTTTTTTTCCCCCCTTTTTTGTCTCTCATTCATTGCCTTCATTTACATACGTGCTATATTTTTTCATTTTTCTTCCTCTTTCTGTCTCTCATTCATTTTCATTTAGACATTATATCTTCTTCATTTCTTCCCCTTTTCTGTCTCTCATTTCATGGCCTTCATTTACATACGTGTATATTTTATATTTTCTTCTTTTTTTTCTTTTTTTGTCTCTCATTTTGCCTTCATTCTACGTGCTTATTTTTTCATTTTTTCTTCCTCTTTTTTGTCTCTCATTCATTCCTTCATTTTTATTACTGTTATATTTTCTTCATTTTCAGTCATTCATTTCTAGCTATAAATTCTTTCCTTTTTTTGTCATTATTCGATTTTTCCCCTTTTTTCTCTCATTGCCTTCATTTACATACTTCATTTATTTTTTCCTTCCCCTTTTTGTCTCTCATTATTGCCATCATTTTCTTCATTCATTTTTCTTCCCCCTTTTTTGTCTCTCATTCATTGCCTTCATTTCATTGCTTATATTTTCTTCATTTTTCTTCCCCCTTTTTTGTCTCTCATTCATTGCCTTCATTTACATACGTGCTATATTTTCTTCATTTTTCTTCTTCTCTCTCATTCATTGCCTTCATTTACATACGTGCTATATTTTCTTCATTTTTCTTCCCCCTTTCTGTCTCTCATTCATTGCCTTCATTTACATACGTGCTATATTTTCTTCATTTTTCTTCCCCTTTTTGTCTCTCATTCATTGCCTTCATTTACATACGTGCTATATCTTCTTCATTCTTTTGTCTCTCATTTTCCCCCTATATTTTCTTCTTATTTTTCTTCTTTCATTCATTGCCTTCATTTACATACGTGCTATATTTTCTTATATTCTCATTCATTGCCTTTTTTACCTATATTTTCTTTTTCATTTTTGTCTCTCTCATTTCATACATATATATTTTGCCTTCATTTACATGGCCTTCATTTGCTATATATTTTCTTATTTTTCATCCTTTTTTCTCTCATTCCCTTCATTTCTGTCTATATCATTCTTTTTGTGTCCATTCATTGCCTTCCTTTTACATACGTGCTATATTTTCTTATTCTTCATTCTTCATTTCCCATTTTTCTATATTTTCTTCTTTTCTCTTCATTCATTGCCTTCTTATTTTCTTCCCTTTTTTGTCTCTCATTCATTGCCTTCATTTACATACGTGCTATACGTTCTATATATTCTTCATTTCTTCCCCCTTTTTTTGTCTATCATTCATTGCCTTCATTTTGCTATATTTTTTCTATTTTCTTCCTTTTTTTTTTATTCATGGCCTTCATTTACATACGTGCTATATTTTCTTCATTTTCATTCTCATTCTTCTTCCTTCTTTCATTTTGTCTCTCATTCATTGCCTTCATTTACATACGTGCTATATTTTCATTTTCTATTTTTCTCCCCCCTTTTTTCTCATTCATTGCCTTCATTTTTGCTATTCTTCTTCATTTTTTCTTCCTTTTTGTCTCTCATTCATTGCCTTCATTTACATACGTGCTATATTTTCTTATATTCATTCTTCATTTTCGTGCTATTCTTCATTCCTCTTCCCCTTTGTCTTTCATTCATTGCCTTCATTTACATACGTGCTATATCTTCTTCATTCTTCTTCACCCTTTCTGTCTCTTATTCATTGCCTTCATTTACATACGTGCTATATTTGTTTGTTTTTAAATATTTGTTTTGTATTTTATTTTGTTTTATAAATTGTCTATAACTTCTTCGTCTTTTCTACGGTTTATTTCCGTCTGTAATTTCTATCAATTTTTGTCTTTTATATTTTCTGGTCAGTGTGTGTCCCCCTGAAAACTATTAGATTCTCACGTTGAATATAAAATGTACTGACGTAATTTTGTTTACTTTGTCTTCGACGTTAAAAAACATTTAAAATATTGACAGTTTTTTCTTTGTTTATTGTCATTATCACAAGATTGTATATTCGTCGATTGGTTGGAAAGAAAGAAAGGTCCCTAAACCCAAAAGAATGATAGGATTGAAATATAAATTTTAAAAAAGAAGGGAAGCCGGAAAGGGAACCAAAGAAAGAAAAAGATAGAAACAAAGATTTAGAGATATAAATTAAAAGAAAGATGAAATAAAGAAAGGAAGAAAGAAAAAGACAGAAAGAAAGGGAGACAATCAAAAAGAAAAAAGGAAAAAAGAAATTAAAATAAATAAAGAAGACTGACAAACAGATAAAAATAAGAAAGAAAGAAAAAAGTAAGGAAGAAAGAAAGAAAAATGTAAGGAAGAAAGAAAGAAAAAAGTAAGGAAGAAAGAAAGAAAAAAGTAAGGAAGAAAGAAAGAAAGAAGACGGGAAGACCGGCAGAAATAAGACAGAAGTAAGAAAAGTAGAAGTTAAGAAAGAATGAGCGAAAGAAAGAAAGAAAGAAAGAAAGAATGAAAGAAAGAAAGAAAGAAAGAAAGAAAGAAAGAAAGAAAGAAAGAAAGAAAGAAAAAGAAAAACAAAAGAGAGAAAATTAAATAAAAAAGCAAGGAAGAAAGAAAGAAAGAAAAAATGAAGAAGAAAGAAAAATATAAGACAAGAAAGAAACAAAGAATGAGAGAAAAAGAAAAACAAAACAGAAAAGTAGAAGTTAAGAAAGAAAGAAAGAAAAAGAAAAAAGAAAGAAAATTAGAAATTAAGAAAGAAAGAAACGAAGAAAGACAGAAAGAGAAAAACAATAGAGAGACGATTAAAATTTAACAAAGAAAGAAAGAAAGAAAGAAAGAAAGAAAGAAAAGTTGGATAGAAAACTGCAATTGAAATTGTAAGGATGAGAGATAAAAGAAAAGTGAATGTTAGTTTTAGGGAGAATAAAGCGGGTAATAAACCCCGGCGGGAAAGAAGAGAAAACAAAATGACCAAAACTGACAAAAATAAGAAAACAGAATATTTCAAAGGCGCCAGTAAACAATTATTCTTATCATCTTTTACAAAAGAATCTGCTAAGCAATATGATTTTTTTGTAGAAAGTCAGACCCTAAACACATTACGTCGAGATACCATCCCCACCCGCTTCACCTTAATGGCTTCTCCTTCTCCAGTACTTTGATATATACGCCAAGTTAGAATGGACTTTTCCACATCAAGAATCGGTCAAATTGTAAAAGGAACTATTTTGAGTACTATTATTATTTTTTAATGTTA